GTCGCGTTTATATTGTTAAAAATACTTGAATTAAAAACAAATCTTACTTAAAAAAATTTTGATTAAAAATTAAAGAATAAAAATATATAATTGCTTCCTCATTATTTCTTGCGCAATTTCTAGGAGAGCATTTGATACAATACTGTAATTTTCTGACTTACTTTTGGCATTGGTTTATTATCCTTAAGTCTTCGTTCACATTCTTTGCTGATTTCTTCGGGAATTAACCCATCAGCATCTTGATGAATCTCTATTAAATCTGGTAATAACGGTGCCAACTATGAATAAAAGAGAGAAAATTTTTCTGAAAAGAGAGAATATTATTTGTAAAAAATCTATTGACATCTTTTCACATAAAACAAAACGCATCTTATTTTTTGCCTTAAACACATCAAATGTACATGCCATATAAAATCGCAATATTATATTAAATATTTATATTATATTAAATATTATAGTAAATTAATTAATTCGTTTCAATATTTAATGTAAAATATATTAAATATATTAAAATAAATTTTATATCTATTAAATTAATCCTTGTGCTTTCTAACTTATATAAAACTTATATTTTTAGAATTTTTTATTGTGCGTTTATTACTCTTCTATTTTTTTAAAACAACAAACCGCTCCGATTATTCCCGTATATGTTGGCACTTGAAGCATAACTGGATCATTCTCATCGATCATCATTTCAAAGATTTTACTGCAACCATCCATAGAACCATTCGTAAATGCAATATTCCAATCATTATGTCTTGGTGTATGCCATGTTTTTAAGAATTCCCTCCATTTTTCTAATAATGGCCCATAACTTTATCAAGATAAATAATAAATATACACTCCAAACGTATTAAAATAATATGTGTAGATGAATTAATTTATGAAAATGTCTATATTTTTATTAATTAAATAGTGAAAATGTATTATATTACAAACAATATGAGATTTATAATTATATTATTGAGTCAAGATATGAAAAAAATATTATATTAATCCAAAAATAAATTTACTAAAGTAAAACAATAAAATTAATTAATAATTAATTTTTGGTTTTATACATTTCATTTGTTAAAAAAGGAGAATTTATTATATATACATATATATATATAAATTAATTAATTAATAGTCACTCACCCTTGTGAAGCTCCATATTGTAACGCTGTAGATATTTCACGTTCATTAAGTTTTATTGGGATGTCATATTTAAATGTCATAGAAATATCAATGAAGGGATATGTGACAGTATTTGGCATACCAGCAGCCAGAGGTATACAATTTACTTGCTTCATATAGAGTTCAGCTAATTAAAAATTCGAGACAGTTACAATACACAATTATTTAATAAACAAAAAGATTATATAATAAAAAAAAGACAAATAAACTTTATAATAAAAACATAAA